TTTGAATGTGTTTGCTCTTGCTTCTCTAGTTATTTTAATTGCGATGTTAGGATGTCAATTTTAGATCTTTCCTGCTTTGCCTTGTGGGCATTTAGTGCTACAAATTTTTCTCTACACACTGCTTTAAATGTGTCCCAGAGATTCTGATATGTTGTATCTTTGTTCTCATTGATTTCAAAGAACATCTTTATTTCTGCCTTCATTTTGTTATGTACCCAGTAGCCATTCAGGACCAGGTTATTCAGTTTCCATGTACTTGAGCAGTTTTGATTGAGTTTCTTAGTTCTGAGTTCTAGTTTGATTGTACTGTGGTCTGAGAGACAGTTGGTTATAATTTCTGTTCTTTTACATTTGCTGAGGAGTGCTTTGCTTCCAACTATGTGGTCAATTTTGGAATAGGTGCGATGTGGTGCTGAGAAGAATGTATATTCTGTTACTTTGGGGTGGAGAGTTCTGTAGATGACCATTAGGTCCGCTTGGTGCAGAGTTGAGTTCAATTCCTAGATATGCTTGTTAACTTTCTGTCTCGTTGATCTGTCTAATGTTGACAGTGGGGTGTTGAAGTCTCCCATTATTATTGTATGGGAGTCTAAGTCCCTTTTTAAATCTCTAAGGACTTGCTTTATGAATCTGGGTGCTCCTGTATTGGGTGCATATATATTTAGGATAGCTAGTTCTTCCTGTTGAATTGATGCCTTTACCATTATATAATGGCCTTGTCTCTTTTGATCTTTGATGGTTTAAAGTCTGTTTTATCAGAGACTAAGATTGCAACCGCTGCTTTTTTTTGTTCTCCATTTGCTTGGTAGATCTTCCTCCATCACTTTATTTTGAGCCTATGTATGTCTCTGCATGTGAGATGGGTCTCCTGAATACAGCAAACTGATGACTCTTGACTCTTTATCCAATTTGCCAATCTGTGTCTTTTAATTGAACAATTTTGTCCATTTACATTTAAGGTTAATATTGTTATGTGTGAACTTGATCCTGTCATTGCAATATTAGCTGGTTATTTTGCTCGTTAGTTGATGCAGTTTCTTCCTAGCCTCGATGGTCTTTACATTTTGGCATGTTTTTTCAATGACTGGTACCAGTTGTTCCTTTCCATGTTTAGTGCTTCCTTCAGGATCTCTTGTAGGGCAGGGCTGGTGGTGACAAAATCTCTAAGCATTTGCTTATCTGTAAAGGATTTTATTTCTCCTTCTCTGATGAAACTTAGTTTGACTGGATATGAAATTCTGGGTTGAAAATTCTTTTCTTTAAGAGTGTTGAATATTGGCCCCAACTCTCTTCTGGCTTGTAAAGTTTCTGCCGAGAGATCTGCCATTAGTCTGATGGACTTCCCTTTGTGGGTAACCTGACCTTTCTCTCTGACTGTCCTTAACATTTTTTTCCTTCATTTCAACTTTGGTGAATCTGACAATTATGTGTCTTGGGGTTGCTCTTCTCGAGGAGTATCTTTGTGGCATTCTTTGTATTTCCTGAATCTGAATGTTGGCCTGCCTTACTAGGTTGTAGAAGTTCTCCTGGATGATATCCTGAAGAGTGTTTTCCAACTTGGTTTCATTTTTCCCCTCACTTTCAGGCACCCCAATCAGATGTAGATTTGATCTTTTCACATAATCCCATATTTCTTGGAGGCTTTGTTCATTTCTTTTTCCTTTTTTTTCTCTAGACTTCTCTTCTCGCTTCATTTCATTCATTTGATCTTCAATCATTGATACTCTTTCTTCCAGTTGATTGAGTTGGTTACTGAATCTTGTGCATTTGTCACATATTTCTCGTGTCTTGGTTTTTATCTCAGTCAGTTCGTTTATGACCTTCTCTGCATGATTATTCTAATTATCCATTCTTCCATTCTTTTTTCAAGATTTTTAGTTTCTTTGCGCTGGCTATGTAGTTCCTCCTTTAGCTCTGAGATGTTTGATCGACTGAAGCCTTCTCCTCTCAACTTGTCAAATTCATTCTCCATCCAGCTTTGATCTGTTGCTGGCGATGAGCTGTGTTCCTTTGGAGGGAGAGATGCACTCTGATTTTTTGAATTTCCAGCTTTTCTGTCCTGCTTTTTCGACATCTTTGTGGTTTTATCTGCCTTTGGTCTTTGATGCTGGTGATATACTGATGGGGTTTTGGTGTAGGTGTCCTTTCTTTTTGTTAGTTTTCCTTCTAACAATCAGGACCCTCAGCTGTAGGTCTGTTGGAGATTGCTTGAGGTCCATGCCAGATCCTGTTTGCTTGGGTATCAGCAGCAGAGCCTGCAGAATATAGAATATTGCTGAACAGTGAGTGTTGCTGTCTGATTCTTGCTCTGGAAGCTTCGTCTCAGGGGTGTACCCAGCCATGTGAAGTGTGAGGGGTCGGTCTGCACCCAGTGGGGGATATCTCCCAGTCAGACTACTCAGGGGTCAGGGACCCACTTGAGCAGGCAGACTCTCCATTCTCAGATCTCAACCTCCATGCTGGGAGATCCACTTCTCTCTTCAATGCTCTCAGACAGCTGTAAGACTCTACCCAGAGGTGGAGGCCACAGAGACAGGCAGGCCTCCTTGAGCTGTGGTGGGCTCCACCCAGTTCGAGCTTCCCAGAGGCTTTGTTTACCTACTTAAACCTCAGCAATGGCGGGTGTCCCTTCCCCAGCCTCGCTGCTGCCTTGCAGTTAGATCTCAGACTGCTGTGCTAGCAATAAGGGAGGCTCCGTGGGCTGGGACCCTCCAGGTCAGGTGTGGGATATAATCTCTTGGTGTGCCACTTGCTAAGACCCTTGGTAAAGCGCAGTATTAGGGTGCGAGTTACCCAATTTTCCAGGTGTTGTGTGTCTCAGTTTCCCTTGGCTAGAAAAGGGATTCTCTTCCCCCTTGTGCTTCCCAGATGAGAGGATGCCTCGCCCTGCCTCAGCTCTTGCTGGTCGGGCTGCACCAACTGACCAGCACCGATTGTCTAGCACTCTCCAGTGAGATGAACCCAGTACCTCAGTTGAAAATGCAGAAATCCCCTGTCTTCTGTGTCGCTCACACTGGGAGCTGGAGGCTGGAGATGTTCCTATTCGGCCATCTTGCTCCTCATCCCCCCACCTTTTTTTTTTAAACGATTGAACTTTTTCCTCCACTGATTGCTGAGGTCTGAGGTCTCTTAATCTGTATTTAACCTAACCGATTTGTGCAGCACACGATTTACTTGTTGGTATAATGTGTCACATAACATTTTTTATGAAACTAATATAGCTATGGTCCATCAACCCTGTGGTATGTGATATTTATATATGACATTATATATGTTTTTATAATATTAGGAACTCAGAAGAAATTCAATATTAAATATATTTTTTTCCAAAAATTGTATGTATGGGAATTATCAGGTAAAACATAGAGAGGCGTTTGTTATTTTCTTATTCTATGTGAGTTATTCTATGGCAATAAAAGTAGAAGTTATTTTGTAACCTGCCGAAGGATGCAAAAGTGCACATGTTGCAGAGTATAGTAACGCCTTCTACTGTTAGGTAAGACAATTTAGATGTTTCATTTATCCAACAAACATATGTTGAGTCCCTATCATGTTCCAAATACCATGCAGTTTGCTGGGGACACAACACTGAACAAAACAGGTGAAGTTCTTCCCCTCATGGAGCCTATAATGTAGTTGGGCATTAGTTTCTTCATGAAAGTGATAATTTTTGCAATTTAAGAAGAAATAAATTGCAATCTTTCATCCCTTATGATAGTATATAAGTTACATGAGGGCAGAATCTTTGTTTTTTGATCACTGACTTATCCCAAGTGCCTAGAACAGTGTTTGACTCACATTAGATTCTCAATAAATATTTGTTGAATATTTATTCAACAAATGAATAGTATAAATAAGTACTCTCAACAAATGCTTCATTTGTTTAAATTTCTCTTATGTGTTCAGCATCTTACGGGACCATGCAGATGTCACTGGGTGGTGTGGGAGGTTGGTACAATTTTATCACAGGAACAGTAGGAAATTATATTTTCTTGACCTGAGCTCTCATCTGCATAAGCCGAACCTTCCAGTGTCCCTCAAAATTTTCCTCATCTTTTGGAAATCCCTCAGAGTATTTCTCAACATAGACAAGTGTACAATTACCACCCACATCTGGCTGATTTTTCCCTTCAGGTCCCAGTTCTGCTCACCAGCATCCTCCAGCAATGAAGCTGATGGAGGTGCTCATCGTTGACCTCACTGCTGGGCAGTGGGTCTCCATCAGGACAGGGATGTGGTTTGTGCCAAGCACACCATCTCTTTCTGTTTCTGAAATGCATTCTTATTTTCCCCACTTTGTTTCACCCCAGGAACTCTGAAGTGATGCTGCTCATGCTCTGTGTCTCTGAACCCTCTTTTGAGAAGAACATGGTAAGCAGTGCTCTCTCTTCAGAGCTCTCACATAAGTTGCTAAGTCTGGGAGAAGGCACAGGTAGTCCTTGCTGCTCTCTCGCTTTCTTTTTCTTCCTTATGCAGACTGATGCTCGGAAATGGTGGACTCAGCATGGCCCAAGTGTAAGCCTCCACTACAGAACAAATTTGGTAGCAACATGAGATTCAAGGACTAAAGAAATTGTCCAGTATTGTAAAGCTGGAACATGACAGGGGACTCTGTTGTTCCCATCATAAAGATAGCAGCTTCAATTCTAAATCCTGTTATTAGATCTGAACATCTCAAAACAATTTTTTTTTCCTAACTGTAGAAAACTAAGCATTCATATCCTCAAATAAGCAAAATGCCTTCATGGATGAAGAGAATGTAAACAGGAGCATACATTTGTAGATTCTAGGTGCATGTTATTCTATTAAAAGTTAGGTTGAAAAAACTTGGTAAGAATTTATTGGGCATTTACTTGTGTCTGGCACTATTTTTTTTTTGACAGTTTTTAATTGTGCCTTTATTCAACTTAGTTCATTAAAAATGTACTTGTTTTAAAGATCCTATAAATAAAGTGACCACTCACATGGGATATAGGTCACCCCTCAGCATGTTACTTTTCTTTTTTAAAAAAGCAGTATTTCTTATAGGAATCTTACTGATCACACAGTAGTTACAATAATGTCAGATATGATGTATACAGTCTAAACGAGACAGGCCAGTTAAGAATTTACATAATGTAAAAATATACATATTAAAATTTAGCCAGGTGGACAGACGCATGCACTTGGGGGAGAGCAGGTGACAGGAACTCCTTTAACGATCAGTAGAGGACCCAGATGCAAGGAATCTCGTTTTCCTCGTTACAGTAAACAGCTTTCACTAATGTATACAGGTATTCCATACACATCTAAACACACAAGGGTAAGTTGTGACCTGCTACACATAGGGTCTAAAGTAATGTAATTGTGATTTTCCTGTGATATTCCCAAGAAAATTATAAATAGCGAACCCCATGCAGGTAGTGGGAAGCACTGGTCTTTTATCACAGGTTGAACCTGAGAAGGTTTAACTCTTGACATTAGTATCTGTAAAGAGATATGGTTCTTTTTGCTATGTTTTCTCCACAACTGACATGCACTTAGTGTGGGAGAATTCTGATGGCTGGCTGACCTAACAGTGACAACTACTATTCAAAATGTGGGAACCTTTTCAGTAATACTGAGTTATACATTTAACATTAAAAAACAACGTGAATCATCCATAGCTTTAAGCCAGAAGGCGGAAGCGAGTGTGTCTGAATGTTAATGCTTTCAGTTATACCACTTTGTGGTTTCTACCGCTGTCTTCCAGAATGACACTGGTACTCTGCTGCTTTCTGTAACAACACAGGCACCAGTTTGAACTCAAAACCTGAAACAGAAGAAATGCCACTCTTTCTCCAGGATCTTTTAAGAAACTAGATTACAATTATAAATTATTCAAGTTTCCTTTTGAGTGGTGTCTTTATGTGTGTAACTATCTACAGAACAAACCAGAAATGTCTACCTCTGCAAGAGTGTGGACTTTGGGTGTGGTTCTGTTAGGAGCTGGGGACCTTCAGCAGTTTACAGTCAGGGCCGTTTTCTTACACACACCTCATTTACCCTGCATTTGTGCCAACTCTGATGGCAAATGCAAATGCTTCACAACTCAGGCCTAAAGATCCTCTTAGGGAGATCTCTTTAGCTGAGTAGAAAACTTCTACCCGAAAAGGCGGTGGGTTCTGTGAACCTGAAGAGAAGACTCAGGGTCTCTCTGAAAGCCTTTAAATTACTCCTGGAATTGCAAGTTCCTATTAGTGAGAAAAGAGCATTAAAATAACTTGAAGGTGTATTTTATTGGCAACTTAGAATGCAAAGTATTTCATTTTTTAATTTTTAAAATCTGAAAACAAGCTAGCCTACATTAAATAATATAGTTTCCAAAGCTGAACGTCCTCACTTGGAGCTCAGTTTTCTGCTTGAAACACAAACACAACTTCCTAACACTCCTAGGTGGGAACACTACTGTTGGATGATCTGTGATTAGATGAACTGATCCATCTCAGTTGGTAACATCCCTTTTTTTTCCTTGGTAAGGGTTTAAAAAATTCTAGAATAGATGTATTTTTCTAGTTTTACACTGACAATTTCATCCCGAACATCTCCTGGGAGGCATAGACCATGTACAGGAATCCATCTTCATCCTTCTCACTCTCGTACACCTCTGAGATTGGTGTGGAGACGCTGACCATGCTGTGGCCGTTCACCAACAGGAAGAAGGCTTGATTAGCATTGAGCTGTAAGCGCCTTCTAATTATCTTGATGAGCTCACTCATGTTGACATGGTCAGGTACAAGGAACTTTGTTTTATCCAGGACAGGAAGCTGCTTCTCACCCTTGTATCGTTCTATTATCACCGGGATTTTGGTTGGATGCTGCTCTCGAATAAGTCAGACATCTTCTACTCTTTGTTCGAAGGTGCGGCGCTGCTTGAAGGTCTTCTCCGATGGCATGGTGCGGGGATCTGGGTGGCGGCGGCGACGACACGAGGGTCCCCGCGGCTCCTAGGGGCGGCGGCGGCTGCGGCGGCGAATCCTACTCTCGTGTCTGGCACTATTGATCATAAAGGTAGAAGATAAAGTTTTTGTTAATCTCAATTATTTTTTTTTTTTTTGGAAAAGGGAGAACTCCCAAGTTAAACGCAGATATTAGTAGATTGTACAGCTACATATGTGGTATGATTTTTTAGTTTTTAAGAAGATCCACTGAACCTCTCGATTCCTTACTCTGTATGCTTATCCAGGAAACTGTATTAGGAGAGATGCCCTTTTTATTTTTCAGTCAGTTCAATGCAAGGAATGATCACATTCAACTTTTCCTTAAAGCGGGTTTTCATGGGTTTGTCACAAAGAGGGCTGGAGCAGTTACCATCAGCACACAGGTTTTCTGAAGAGATGAAGCGGGAGAGAAAGGTAAAGTTGAGTAGGTTGATGGCAAGCTGTGGTTACTAACAAATTCAGTAAAAAATATTTCAATGAGGATTATATCTAAACCATATAAGCATTAAATCAAGAATTAACATCACGCAATGGAAGCCCCACTGAACTAGAAATCAAAAGACCTTAGAATAAAAGTATTTTATTTCTGACTTTGATCCTTATTGGCTATGTGATCCTGGACAAGTCATCGAAACTCTGTGGGCTTTCTCATTCTTACGTGTAAAATGAGGAGGCCTCCTAGTCCAATTCTAAATCACTGTGATTCAAATGGCTGGGTTGTGTGAACAGACTTGGAGAAAAAGTAGTGTTGGTTGGAACTGTAAGTTTCATGAGTAAAATAAATCTAGAGTTGGACCATCAATTTAGTCAGGAACTAAATTGTTGGAAAGAGAAGAGGAAGGAATTCTAATAAGAAGGACATGAAGGCTAGAACAAAATGCAAATTGTGGATTTCAAAAATAATGAACTGACTGACAGGAGGTCAGATTGGTTGTAAGAAACTCACATACTAAATTTCCTAGAATGATCTTTGAGGTTCCAATCACAATTAGTCTTCTGCAGTTGTGTCGTGAAATAATAAATCCCTATTTTCTTTGTTATTGCTCCTTTATGCCAGCTCTTTAAGTCCATTAAAATGCTCAGCCTACTTGTAAATTTATTTCAATTACAAATATCTTGATTATTATTGTTCTAGTTTCAGTGACTGAGACATTCTTTCTCCTGTACAAAGGCAAGGATCTTTAATATTTTCTCACTTTTTAGCAACAAGGAGTCTTAACTTGGGAAGGGACTTTGGGTCGTGTATTGTATTCTGCGCATGTGTATTTTTCTCCTCTATCTTAGTCCAGGCTAGGTTTTTCTCATCTCTTCTTTCATAATATCCTTCCATACCTCTATTGTTTCACTGATATTTATATATCTACCTATGTGTCTTCTCACCAAACTCTTCTCACCAAACTCTGTTTTCACCAGATTTGTTTATTTAAATCTTTGTAGATTTAATATAGTGAACAAGTACACTGACACATGTGGGTGAATGAATAAGCATCTATTGTTAAGCCATATATCCACGCGTTTGAATAGAAAATGTGATGTTGGTGTTGGGAATTAGCTAGAACTTTTGAACTCAGGTTTTAATACAATCCTGCCTTCTAGTTATTTCCTTAATATTCTTTGAACCAACTAACTCTTTAGTGACTGAGAAAATGAAGCTCTATTAGAAAGAGAAGACCTCACCTAAAAGACCTCAAATAATGATCAATAGGCTATGAAGGCAATTATCTAATCTTATCTGGGTCACTCCCTTTACCTTTACTGCTAGAACTGGCTTTATTTCAATTCAGTTATAAAACCAGTGGATTATTAGCAAGAAAACAGGCAAGCAGTTCTTCCTACCATAGTTACAGTTAAGAACAATTATGATATTAAATTCATGGATACTGAAGAGATTAATAGACTTTTCAAGGAGTTTTATGGGATTATATATATGAATGATAACTTATCAAGATGTTAAGGAAAAGCCTATATATCTGCATTTCCTTAAATGAATAAATTTTGGAAGGAAAAGTAAACCTCTTGAATAAAGCTATTCTTCCTACTTAAAACTGCCAAAGTCCTAAAAAGTTTCTGGTAAGGTCAGAATGCAGCCAGCTCCATTAATGCTTTAATAGTTTCATTAATCTTTATGATTGTATGATAATAAGACTATTTTATCTCAAATGATCCTGGCTTGATTTGTTTGACACGTGTTTTATTAAGTGCTCTTATCTGCCATCTTAATAACACAGAGCTAGTATTTATTAAAATTTTTTGTTAAATCACATTTTTCCATGCAAGTCCTCATTTGTAGAAGTAAAAGTGTTTTATCATTTCTTTAAAAAATATGTGCTGTCTTTCTCTGCTGGAGGTGTGTAGATAGTATTTATCTTTCTATTATCCTAGCTTGGCCCTACTTATGCATCATTTCTGCTTGTTTCTTCCCAAGGCAGAGTCTATAGAGGCAGGTTGAAGACTTCTTTTGCTGAGTGTGGGGAACCACTCAACACTGATTTCTCACCTAACGAAAATGATAATCATACAATCCACAGAGAATTGTTTAAAAAAGAAATATGCTGTTACTCATTTTACAAAGTGATAAAAAATTTAAAATTTTTCTGCGTATAGGGTTTTTGTTATTGAAAACAAATTGAACTTTTGTTTTGAAAGAACATTTTGAAAAGATAAATAGGATAAAAGTATTAATACAGTCAGTGGGGTGGTTTGAGTGGTTTTCAGTGATTGTTGTATTTAAGAGTTCACCTCCCTATAGGGTAGAATTATCAGCTTTAAGGGAGTGCTGGGTCCCAAGGAAACTGATTCACTTTTCACATTCAAAGATTGATCTTATAAAACCACTATGACTATTAATTTGTAATATGTTTTGTAACATTACTGAGCAGAATATAGATATGTAATAATGTACATTGTCTAGAATGTTGCATGAAATAATATATATAAAACACCTTAGTAGAATCCTTGACATTTAAAGAGTACATAAGAAATGTTAGGTGCTTCTGAAATAACAAGGTGCCTAGGGAAAGGACTTAATATCCTGAGGTTATTTGAAGGAGTACCTTATTTTGAGAAACCCATGAAGGACCCTGTTCTAATTCAGGTCACAAATCACCACAATATGAAGGACAATTAAAAACTTTTGATACAGTGCTTTAAAATTACAAAATATTTTCCTGTATATTAACACTGTTCTGATGATAAGAATATTATGATAAATTAGATACTCAATGTCTCTCTTTGGGCAGTGTTATATAAACATCAGCAAATTTTTGTTCCCGATTCCCCATCATTGCAACATACAAGGAAACATTTCTGAGTTTTTTTCTTTTTTTATTTCTTATTTGTTTGAAATTGTTAGTGTTGGAAATTTTATTCTCAGTGGTAAATTATTTTTTTAATTTCAAGTAATATATTAGTTTAGGAACTTTCTATTGATAGGAAACATATTCATGGGCCATGCTTTCTTTTTTGCTTCCAGTCATATGTAGAAACCCCACCTAATTGCTTGTTCTTCTTTCTCCAACCTTCTTTACATTAGATAAAAGTTTGCTTTTGGTTTAGAACTCTTTCATCATTCCACCAGCAAACACTTATTTACCACCTATCTGCCTCTGGACAGCCCAGAAGCAACAAAATAAACATTTATACCTTACAGGTATAGCCATGTCCAATCTCAAAAATTAAGAAAACAACAGTGCCTGATTTTCTATTAGGAGCTCCATCTTCATTAGCAAGGTGAATTTTGAAGAAGTCAGTTGTTGTATGTCACTACCCTTGCTCTCTTCTCTTAAAATAGGTGTGATGTCCCTGTTTAGCCTCCCTCATATAACAGTGATCATCTGTTTAGGCTTCTTATTCCATTTGACATGAAGCTGTATACTTGGCTCCTCATCCAATCTTATCAATTTTATTTCTCTTAAGGAAATGGGCCTGGAACTTTCTCATTAATACGTTAGACACCGCCTGAAGCTGATAACTGACTCCAAAAAGCTCCACTGGACAACCCCTATTTCACATCAGATCCAGCAAATCCAATATGCCACTCCCACCTCGGGACAATATTCACGTAGCATTTTAAAACTTATCAATATGAACTGCTGCTCCTTTATAAAGAGGATCCATCCTATCCAATTTTCCTAATCCTGAGTCTAACCTGGCCCATGCAAGCTTTAGATTCTACATTGCTAGGGCCCTGGGGAAGCTTTGTTCTATACAAGCAATGCTACCACCTGTCTGCTAACCTAGGACTATAGCACTCATGTTCTCTGGAGTTTTTCTTTCATTTATGCATAACTCTTTACCTCTACCTCACACAGAATCTGTGCTATCGACTAACGGAAGACACCATATTTTCTTCAACATCAGCTTGCTTTATTCTATTAACTACCCTTTTGGTGCTAGCTCTGCTAACTCTGGTATGTATTTACTCTAAGAAATGAAATTTCAATTCAATCTGGTGTCATGTCTATTGTCATATTTTAAAGAGAGACTCTTACAAAATTTTCCCTTATACTACTTTCTCTATGCAATGTGACAGAAACATAGAGTTAAAACATCATTACAAAATTCATGTTTCCTTACAAGTGCAAATAAAGCCTTTTCAAATTTCAAGATCTTTTCTGGTTAACCCTATTTAAGACTAGATGGTTTAAGGAAACCGCTGCATTATATATCTAAGTCTCAAATTTTGGTAAGACCTTATGTAAATGACGGGGTTGATGGGTGCAGCACACACCAACATGGCACAAGTATACATATAATAAACTTAAATGTGCATGTACCCTACAACTTGAAGTTTAGTAATAATAAATAAATTTTTAAAAAAAAGAAATTTATAAAAAATTTTAAGAAGGGATAAATTGCTTATTTAATCTGAAAGATTCTAAGTGAAATAAAGCTCCTGGGGTAGAACAAGCTAATCATACACCTAAAAAATTGTAAAATGTAGAGCATACAATAATTATCGAAGCTGCTTATTCATGAGCCACCCCAAGGCCCAGCTCTGGATTCTGAGCCAGCAGCTCAGAATGGGACCCTAG